ACATAACGTGCGTAAAGCAGGAATTCCACGCTGCATTTTGCGGAGCTTTATAACGTGTCTGTACAGGAGTTTGGGGTTTGAAAGGAATTTCTCAGCTAGATTCTGTTGATGCTGTATTTTATCTTCGCGTACCAGGTTTACGCAGTGATTCCTTTGGATAGTGTAGGCTTCCCATGTTTCGACACTCGGTGGCTTTTCGTATCTTCGCCGGAGTAACTTCCTCGTGACGATATACTTCCGTGTCCTGACGACGCACTTCCCTGTCCAACCATCGTCTGCGGAGCACCCTGGCCCACTGCTCCTCCTCAGATGCATCTGATACTGAATCGTTGTCGTCTCAGTGTCGGACCCTAAGACGGTTCATACCACTCAATGAGCTGACCTTCAAATCACCGAAAAGATACAGCAAAACCTGAATATTTGACGGAATACCCTGTAGCACCTATGACCTCACGTAGGTTTACCAGTCACTAACATGTGCAACTCGAAACCCAACCACAGCAGTTATGGGCAACGGCTGGAACCTACCATCGCCGACGCTAGTACCATCTTGCCAGTCCAGTGGAAATTCACTTTTCAGCGAGTTTTTAAATCTAGCGCAATTATGCCAGTTTTACTGCGGCCTCAGTGTCCCGAGGTTTGTACCGCAGCAAGCATGACTACCAATGCATGCAGCAGCAATGTCATACCACGAGTTATCAATGAAGTTCCTAACTCTGCCACACCAACAGGTCGCTATCAAGTTGCGTCTTATCAATGCTCGCTCTTTAAATAATAAAATACACACTTTGCGCCATATGATTACTCCCTTAATTCCTGATTTGCTACTCATCACTGAAACCCGGCATGACCCCCATACTCTAAATGAGTCCTACCAAATAGTCGGCTATTCATCATTCAAGAACAGCGTACAGGTTGGTAAGGGGGCAGATGTGCTATTTATGCTCGAGACCAAGTCCGTAAACAATTAGACCCGAAACTCTATCATAATAGAAAGATTGTGGATCTCCAAAGAAGTGAATCGCTATCTAATTTTGGTCGGATGTATTTACAACCCACCTCGTTATGACGCGTTCCTTTAGTACACCACAATTCTGCTCCAGAATTTGCTTCTGAGTTACCCATTGGACAAAAGATAATCGGAAGTGACTATAATTTACCAGAGATTTCATGAGTAGGGTATACAGCATTACCAACGCTGTTGAGCTTAGTTTCCGAAGTCCGGGCCCAAGGATGGTCACAAGTGGTTCATAAACCTAACAGGGAAAACATTTCAAATCTCATTTCTATCAAAGACATAAACCTCACACGTATCAATGAATTATCCCGTTTCCCAGGTAGTGATCACAGATTCGTGTACGTCAGTATCGCAGCAACCGATCCGGCCACATGTTGTAACACAAGACGACTAACAGAGCTCTTCAGGGACTTTAGAAATGTAAACTGGGATACATTTGTTATACTGCTGCGAAAAACGAAATGGGACCTCTGCTTCCTCACTAGAGATCCACTGGTTGCAGCAGACGAAAATGACACAAATATCCAACACTGCCTTTATATCCCTGCTCCATTCATACTGAGATCCGATAGGAAGGTTTCCATGAAAACTAGACGAGAAACATGCAATCTGCGTAAGCTGGAAATAGTACGCTCAAAAATAAGAGACTCGCGACTTCTCCTTGTTTATCAGACAGAACAAGTTAATTGCCCATTTGCAGTCGATTCGTGCCACAAAGTTACTGGAAGAGGAAAAGCGAGCATTGGCACATGAAAATAAATCTAAAGCCTTGGACAAGCCACTGGAGGCCAGAAACGCCAGTCAAACTAAATTGGTATCATGCGCAGTACTACCTGACAGATCCATGACCAGAGACCCCACCGTGATAGCGAACGTCATAAATGAACACTTTTCCACTTTGGTTACTATCTCAAGCAGAACACTTACGATTAGCACTCCCACTGATGCTGACAAACTGAGCAGTGCAATTGTACTGCGGCGTAATTCGTGCTCACGTTGATCGGCTACGGTCTTCGTTTCATCCTGGACCTGGTGGTCCACCAACTTCTCTACTAAAGTTTGGTGGTCGGGATATTTCGCTTTGGCTTCTAAAGATATTTACCCTATTTATGAATTCGGGGATATTCCTGAATCAATGGAGACTCACTATCGTAGAACCTAGACATAAGAATGGTGGTCATCTAGACATAGAAAATTAGCACCCAATTATCCACACACACCGATTAGTTGGAGAATAATGGAAAGAATTGTGAGAGAAAACTGTTATACACTTACTGACATTGAATTTCACAAACCCAGCTCAACACGGGTTTATGTAACGAGGCGCATGTCAAACTTGTCAGCTAGGTTTTCTAAACTAATTGACAAGCTCCAATGACAATGGAAAACCAGCCATGATTCTCTCCATGGATATGCAGAAGGCGTTTGACAAAGTACCGCACGACAGCCTATCGGCAAAGTTAACCAATTTGAGGGGGCCGGGACGTGTGTTAATAACAAATGTACATGATATGTGCTACATAATGCATTCCGTTGACAAAACCCACTTGAACAGGTGTATTGAAATAAAGATATAACGTTGACAGTACCCCTTCACCCGATCCTCTTCCGCGTTTACTCGGGAAAGCATGGCTCAAATACACACCAATAAGTGTGGACCGCAGAGGGATTAAGAACGGAGATTGAGATATCCATATTTATCCCACTCGTCATATTCCGTTTACTCAGCCACTCCTACCTTACAGCCATACCAAAAAGTGTGAGCTGAGAAAGAAACGTTGACTGAATCGATGCATCTTCATTCGCTTGTACGATTGGTTCTTCCCATGTTGCCCTCATGTAAATCTATCAGGCAGCAAGGTGAAGTTAACCGATACTGCTTCCAATATCTTCATTTCTGCCTCCAAAATCTCTTATTTTTCCTCTCGCTTACGCCTAGCGTGCATTCAAACTAAAACGCCTGGGACAGTGTCAACCATGTTCGCCTCAAATACAACAGATAACTCTCCCATTCTATCTGTCCCAGTCCATAGGTATAGATTCTGAAATGAAAATAATCAAGTACCCCCGTCTTTCACCAATCATTTTCAGAACGCCACAATGTATAGTAAATTAGTAACGTACATCAGATACTCTTTGCAATAAGCATGATTTCGGCCTTAACATTTCTCCTATCACTACAATTGTTCTTCATCCTTTACGTAAGGAAATGAAAACTTGGTTCCGTCCGTAAACGGAGATCTCCAACATGAGGCCATGAAGTATTCTGTGTCCAAACAAGGCTTTGAACTGCAGAACCCTGGAGAATAAGAACACGATGTTGATTTCTGTCTGACATTTGGAATATGCTGTTAATAGTGTACGCAACGATTGTAAGAATTCGTACCAGAGAATACAGATTATTATTAGTGTTATTGTCTCACATCCAGTTCCTGCCTGCATATCGGCGTCAAACATCGCGCAATACGTTATCAAAAACACCCGCCAACATATCGAGAACAGACTAAAGATACGCGAACGCATTTAGAACGGCCCTGTTGCACTTAAGTCCGCGTCTGTGCCAGAGCTACGCACAAAATTTCAGATAGACTGCTGTAAAGAAACTTCACAATGTGATCAACGGACGGCAAGCATTGGGTACATGAAATCCGTCTTCGCGGAATTATCCCCAACCTATGATAGCGAAATTTAAAAGGCATTTTCGCCAACAGTGGCCTGCTACGCACCAAGCATTACAGAGCTCTTGATCTTAGATTCTGTCGGGGGTAGTCTGTTTTTCGGGTTCTGCACAGGATTATCATTTTCAAGGAAGCTTGTTCCATCAATAATAACGTCAATCACATGTTCGTAAACAAATGTTTTGCAAAAACCGACAAAAAAGGTAGAAAAAACCGAACGCGCAATCCACGTCCTGCAAACCTTAATGGTTCCCGTTTGGCATCGCGAAATGTGATCCGATCAAGTCGCATTCCTCTCTTAATACATCATGTCAATATTTCAACAATCAGATCAGCTAAAATGCCCGCCAGTAGCTCCAAGTGCAACAACCATTTTCTCCTGACCAATGATGGCGATAGCTCACCTAACTCCAAGGGGCTTATATACAGTATACTATTAAGGCAGCAAGAATTCATCGGGAGAAAGGGATGCTAGAAGCAACTTAGGTGAGCTCAGAAGATGCGCCTTCCAAGGATACTAGCATGGTAGTCGTGGAAGCAATATGCTGTCGGCCCACTTTGGGTTACCCAATTGGTCGTAGTTCCCTCTAATAGCCCGCCGATGATGTACTCCAATTCAAACATAAATGAGCAGAAATAGACCTATTATGGACTTAGTGGACACTGAGCAGCCGTCTATTGTAACTTTGGTGTCCGCCTCAGATTATCACAAAAACAGGCCTATCTTCAGTCCACATCTCCCCGTATGACAGATTCACCAAGAGCCCCCTCGGTCTGTGTACTCGACCGGAAACAGTACGCTCACCATAGTTGACGACGACGGATTTTGATTGTCGTGTGCCACAATCGGGTATTCGCCATAAAACGTGAAAATGCCGATTATTCGCTCCACGCCAATGAATGGAGTGCTGTGCGACTTTCACGTCAACATAGACATCGTTCGACACACTTTGAGTCGACCATATTCAATATGCCACCAATGAATTATCGTTAAAGGTTAGTAACGGAATAGCTGTCAAGGCCTCACTCAAAATCAGGTAGATTTTTCCTGCAGATCTGAAAAAACACCATGCAGTCCGTTCCTCTTTTGTGATTTACCAGCAGTGTGCATTCCCGTCTAACACACCGCAGAGAGAGATGGGCCTCCGAAGGTAAAAGAGTGAGGCTTGCTGAATAACGATAATCATCATATCGGAGTGCCCAGCCATACTATAGCGACTCCACCCCTTGTCTGTCATATCACGATGGGAGACAGAGCGCGAGTTCGAACTGAAAGCAAAATGGTTGCACACTACACAACCGGATACGATGGCTCTCAGGCTCAAACGAATGTCTTGCGAACTAGCAGGGCCTGCAAAAATAAATGCTGTGTCCGCAGCCAGATGGTTGGTACGCATAACTAGCTATTGCGCCGCGGGCCAACAAAAACGAGTGTCACATGTGGGAAAATATTAGAACTCCAGCGGCGCAATGAGGTAGAGTGTGAAGATAATGCAAAAGTGAAATAACAGTACAGTGGAGCCGAAAATCGGTACACCTGGATGTTTTGAAAGACAGTGTGGGGAATGCACTCTCCTCAAAATAGCGAGCAGATTCAACGGATCGTGCGCCATATCACATACATTAAAAACAGAGTTACAGCAGCCAGGAGCCAAAAAAGAATTTTATCTTGATGAGTTCTGCGTTCGATAAGCCGCATTACAGTGTTGGATAGTCCCAGTGTATTAATTAGATCCAAAACACGGCGCTGCGCTCCCTTTAGAGTAAGGCTGTGGGAGAGGAGAAAGAATGGTACAATAAAACGCGAGAAGGATTTAAAATGTAATCAAACAAAGTTTAAAGAGGAGGGATAAGATGTGATAAAATAGTGGGCAAGCCGTAGGTGAGTCGCCGATGTTGGAAACCAATCACAACAAAATCCAGTTACGTGGGGTAATCCGGTAAAAGTGCACAATGTGTATTTCAAAGGAACTCACAAGGATACACACATTCATCTTATACTAGTAACAGTGAAGCAACTCTAGGCAAGTGTCGTCGACATAAAAGCTAATACAGTCAAACAGGGTGGCTTTGAGACCAAAAGTTGCGTACAAAGTACTAAGAACTGATGCTTGAGTGCTGAGATAATTCAACAGTTCAACAAAGAATGACTAGATGCAAGATACGCAGGTTGATGAGACGTGCTAGCCTCAGGCACAAACTATCAGTTCCTAAGAGCTTCATGTTGACCATTGACCGAAAGTAGGAAGCGCCTGTTTCGCAACCCGGTCACCGGTTCGAATCTGCGTAGGTGCGGGCGATCACGCAGTACATTCAGCGAGGGCCAGCGAAGCGTCGGTACGGTATGCCAGCATACTGCCGATGACTTTCTCTCTGTACTTATCTAAAAAGGCATCAGTAGTACGCCGGTATGCAGTACCGACGTATCGCTGCCGTGGAACCACCACCAGTCGCAGGTGGGCTAAAGATACTGCGAGGGTCACCTGGTCCCCTACGAACCCATGACCGCCGGATTACAAGACAGGCTTGTGATCCTTAAGGCACGAGCCGGCTCCGTAATCAGCTACTGTGCATTGTACAGACGCTCGTCCGTGACATACTCCAAGATACTGGACCGAATAACCAGTGCATGTAGGTGGCAAGGCTGCAATCTGCGAGTCAGTAAATGTCTACGGCAGCAGAAACACATTTGTCCAACAGTTCCCTTGAATTTTAAGCAAGCAAGTTGTCTTACATGGCTGATGTGTGATGAAACTCTGATGTCTGAACTGACACTGAGCAATATTCGCAGCTAGAAACGACAAAGTAACATGAAATTGCGCCAGGAGGACAAATGTCACATTTGCTTATGGAGATAACTGGTCACAGACCCATTTGCAAGAGACAGTCATGAACATACTGCCTCTGAGCGCAGTGAACATTGAAACAAGGATGGAGTGAGTTAGTGACATCGTATCAACGACGCAGGTCGGTGGGGAATATGCGAATAAACGATGCCATAGGATAAGATGAAAGAAGTGAGTTTTAACTTCAGGCATTTGACATGTACATGGTACACTGTCTAATGCACGTTTTGTAGAGAGGATGCGTACTACTGCATGGTTTTAAACGGAGAAAACAGCCATTCAGCGATACACTGTAATAAAATTCATCCCAGGGAGCTGGATCCCCATACCGCACTTGTGACAGATGAATCTCGAATTGAAAGCAATCGAAAAACCGCACTAAATGAGCACGAGCAATGTAGTTAAATATGACACGATCCGCGTGGTAGTTGGTAATTAGAAAGCCGTGATATATTGTCCCACTCGATACAAATGCGATGGATTAAGTTCAAGTTGGAAACTTGGGTACCCCAAGATCGCATAATAGTCAAAGTTAACTTCCGCACTCTGTGCTAGCTGTATATGGATCCATTACAATCTAAGCTCCTGAGGAAGCTGTAGTTTAAGATTAAACTTTGCACGCATTATCAATGCGTCGTGATTTGTTGTTCAAACATTGTGTGGTTTTGAGGCAATGGATTTGACATCCACATTTGTCATCGCAGAGAAAAGGAACATCGGAACATAAAAATTGCAGTTGGACAAACGGAAGCTGGTGCATATCGTTTGGCTTGTGTTAGGTAAACCATGTAATAAGAAAGGACTATGCTGTCTAGAAAATTGATGGTTTACACGATTCTGCCGATATACATCACGACGCTTTCGGAAATAGGTGCAAACGTTTGATGCCAACACGCATTATACATGACGCTTATGTTAGGTCGATAGACGTTCGACGCAAACATTCACTCCATACCACCATATTCAAGTTAGTTGGTTCACAAGGATAGTTTCGTCAACTTTGGCTGTTCAGATTCATGGTGACGCTAAGTCATACCAGTGTGACTCGGTGTACGACAGTGTCGGTTGCAGGTTGAATCATAAGGATTGTCAGTTGTCTTACAGATGGTTTGCTAAATGCGATCGCATTATTTCTCGGTCTTCATCAACGACCTCGCGTGTGTCAACAAATCGAACATTTTTAACCGATGACATCAAGGGATGGCTTCAAGTTAAGTCACGTCAAGGTAATCTTTATGTAACTGGATGGGTGCATTTTCAGCAATTTACGGTATCACCTACTAATGGAGCAAAATGACATCATCAGAATTGCAAAATTTTATAAATGGCAAAGCGAAAGGGAAATATGTACTGATGTCACTCGGGTAAAAAATCCGCATTCTTGGGCACTAAGCACAAAATGAGAATCATAATCCTCGGGTTATTTTCATCAGAGGGACTAGGGTACTACAAAGCCATTTCCTCAGAATAGGTTTCACATGAACTAAAAGTTCGTGGCCAATAGCAACATATCGCGAATAATGCGCTGTATCTCGACTAAGTATACAAAATGTGGGGAGTAAGACGATCATGGTGACCTTGGAAGCACCTCAGACAAAAATGGGTCTAAATATTCCTTCCGGCTCGCTTTCCCTCTTCCCTGAAGTCTGAAGATCTCATCAGGAACTCATCGGGAAAACTTACTTAGCCCGTGGGTCTGCGGGCATACGAAACTACAATGACAAATATGACAGTGCGCCGGCTCAAATGGGGTGTACCCAACGAACACACCTTTCTGGCCTACTAATCATGGGATAACTGGAGCTGGACACCTTAAATCCAGAAGGCCAGAGTAAGCGAAAACACGTTCCAGAAACTAAGAGGAACAAATGATCATTACAATATGTATGAATGAAGCCCTGACAGAGGAACTTACAATATAGATTGTCAAATGTCTACTCATTCGCCTATAGATCTCCAAACAACCGCAGTCAACACAAAGTAAGATGAACAATGAACAATGAATTTATACGGGTTAAGAAGCGTTGCTTTACAAGTCCCGTTGGATAGTTGGTGGGGATATCAACATAACCATAATGATGATAAGGATAGTAAAATAGTTAATAATGTACATATGAAAATAAGGACTTTTCGTTTGCTTCGCTGCAGTCCTGCGATCCACTTAGATTCACAACACCCACAGTTAACAACAAATAATTCCATGGTAAACTCCACGTGTAGGATGGAGACGTAGTGTTAAGTAACAAAGTGTAAGTGGATGAGTGCATCGTCCAACCGTCTTTTAAATATTGTTAGTGTCGGTGCAGAGACGACCGATTCTGGGAGAGCATTCCACGGGTGACAGACACGGATGGAAAAGAAATTTCTGCGGCACTCCAGACGACTGTATTGTTCTGCGAGTTTTAAGGAGTGGCCCCTCAGGTTTGTATTGCTGCTGAGTTGCAGTAAAGGGCGGCACACATGATGTGGGTCTCGCAGAATCAAGTATGTCATAATCAGGTCGCCTCGTAGTCTGCGATAGCTTCCACTGAACAATCCTAGTCGTTGCAGCCTCTCCTGATAGGAACGATTGCGCATTCCAATTACGTTCTTAGATGCCCGGCGTTGTGGCTGCTCCAGTGCATTAAGGTCGTGTTTCAGCCATGGATGCCAGGTTTGAATTACATATTCGACATGAGGGCGAACATACGCACTGAGCATTTTCGAAATATGGAGCTGTTTATTTGTCCAAACGCCCGCCTCAACAGCCCGACGTGTTGGTTCCCGGTCTTGGAGGCCTTTTCGGATTGCCTGGAGCTACACAAATCATCTTGAACCAGGACACCCAAGTCACGTTCGATAGTTGCTTTTTGCAGTACATCCGTTACGAGTCGGTATGAGTAGCTGCCCTGATGTCGGATGGAAAGTGCCTTGCATCTACTGACGTTGAACCGCAATAAGTTTTGGGTCGACCATTGATACACCGTATCTAAACCACTCTGAAGCACATGTTGGTCGGTGATCGCCTGGATCTTGCGCCAGATCTTGATATCGTCGGCAAACATTAGGAAGTTTGAAGCGATTCCCTGTGCAAGGTCATTAATAAACACCAAAAACAAACGTGGACCTAGAACCGAGCCTTGCGGCACACCACACTCGACTCGTATGGGGTCCGATAAAGAGCTCCGAACTCTGACCACTAATTGCCTTTGAAATAGAAAGTTGGCGATCCAGCTTAAAAGAGGGTCACCGATCTCGTAATGCTGCAGCTTGGATAGTAGTATCCGATGGTCTAGACGATCGATAGCCTTGGAAAAATCCAGGTAGATCACATCAACATCTTCTCCAGCGTCGGCTGCCTCGGTCCAACTACTGCGTGCAATTAGTAAATTAGTTGTACATGACCGCTGTCGACGGAAACCGTGCTGTTCAGGAGTGATGAGGTTGCAGTTTTCCAGATAGCACACCAGTGCATCGGCAACTATGGATTCCATGACCTTGGAGAGCATAGGAAGAAGAGTTACTGGGCGGTAGTTGGAGGGATCAGATCTGCTTCCACCTTTGTGAATCGGGCTTATTAATCCAAGCTTCCACATGGCGGGAACTTGGTTCTGGTCTAAGCAGTGCTGAAAAAACTGAGCTAAATGTCCTGCCAGTTGGTTTGCTGCTGCTCCCAATGCCTCAGGACAAATGGCGTCGACACCCGGCGAGCTGTGTTTGCGTAGAGAAGTCAGCTTTTGCAATACAGCCTCTGCGGTAAAATTGATGTGGGTTAGTCCTGGTGAGCAGAATACAAAACTTGGTAGATCGCTTGGTGGCAAGACTACTTGAAACGTGGGGGCGTATTGCATCTGCAGCGCGTTTGCAGCTTCCATAGACGTTCTTGTTGGGCCATCAGCCGTCTTGAGTGGAGGAAATCCTTGCCTCACCTTTCGTAGGCTATTAACGTGCTTGTACAGTAGTTTGTGGTTAGCACTGAAGGTTTTTGCGATGTTCTGCTGATAGGCGGCTTTGTCTTCTCTTAACAGTTAAGTGCAGTGGTTACGTTGGGCTACGTAGTTGTCCCAAGTTTCTGGTGCTGGAGCTTCTCTGTACACTCGCCATGCTGCGTTGCGTACTGTCATCCATTTTCGGGTTCTGCTCCTAACGAAAGAAACGGATTTGCACTTATTGCAAGCTTTTATCTCTGAAGCCTCTGCAATCAGCTGAGTGAATTTGTTGACGAACTCGAGCCAGGCGACTTCCGGGGGTTCTTCTTCGAGGAAAGACCATGTTGCGGCGCTGACTAGCTGGGCAAGTCGGTCGTACCTAGTGATGGTTCGCACAGTATCATCGTTATCATTCCGATATTCTGCATAGCAGACGAAGTTGAAACTGATGACTGCGTGACCACTGCGACTCAACGGGCAGTCTAAAACCAACGCATCAATCATATGCTCCTCGTTGGTAAGCACAAGATCCAGCACAGATGGCCTGTTACCAGTTCTGAACCGAGTGGACAAAGTGATGTGGTTGTAAAGAGGAACAGTAGTTACTAGATCTTATAAATCGGTTTTGAATTGTTCTCCGGTCGTGGCAGGGGCTTCTAAACAATGTGCGTTGAAATCACCCATGATAAGAATGTGAGTGTACTTTTGTTGTAAACTGCACCTAAAAGCAGCCATTAGGTGGTAGTCGGTTTCGGGTGTTGAGTTAGGGGCGCGGTACACCAAGATAATAAGGCAAGCGTCCCTGCCTTTTAACTGCAACCGGCACCAAAGAGAGTCGGGGAACTGCGAATCTGAATCCTCCACGGCTTCGCACTGTAAGTCGTTTCGGTAGTACAGGATTACCCCTCCTCCTTTTGTGAGCCTATCCTTCCGGATCAGCGACACTTCAGCGTCCGTCATTCCCGTGTGCAACCATGTCTCGGTGATACCAATGACATCATACGAGCCGGAAGCTTGGCGATCTTTCAGTTCAGCCAGTTTGTTACAAAGTCCCTGAGCATTTGTATACAAGCAGGCCAGTTTCTCGGTCTCTAGGAGCCCGCAGAGAGGTGAAGCTGTCAAGTGTGGGAGAATGCCGACCGATGGGAGGTCGGCAGTTACTCGTTTTTTGATGGGTCAATGATACCTCGTTTGCAACTTGATTCGGCCAACGTGCGTCCCAGCCTTCGTTTAGACCTACGTCAGAATCAATTAAAGCAGCAGTCAAGTTACACTTCTGTACATTCATCAGTATGCTTGCTGCTTCAGTTGCTTTAACACTTGAGCTATGCAAAGTGTTTGCGACCTTTAACCGAATTTCGGAAGGAAGATGTTTCCGATTTCTCCGCCATCGATCCAAAACATCCTTTGCTTGTTGCTCTGACTGAACCACAAGTTTTAGAATTCTAGGGCCGCATCCTCTATAATTCGATGAAGGAGGTATCCTGGTGAGCGATAGTGCCACAACATTATCCATAGAAAGTGTTTCACGAATGAACCACCACTGTTCTAAATCGTGCTTTCCGGTCTCTTGAACATAGTTAGAAGGATGTTCTGGCACGCCATGTATGAAGACTGTGTTTAGGCGGTCTTGCTTGCTGTGCCCCTCTTCGGTGTTTCGTTTTGTTTGTCGCGCGCTCCAGGGGAAATCAGGATAGATACGTATCCCACATGATTCGTGTATTAGCGCGCTTGCGGAGAGCAAAACATTTTCCACGTGGGTGGAGGATTCTAGAGTTACTCGAATAAGTCTGGGTTCACCATAGTGTGGCGAGTTCGGATGACGAGTAATTCGTAACAAGTTTATGGGCTTGGCTTTGATACTCATCTGCATACACAATGTGTTCCATTGGTCTTGGTCGTCTGATAACTTATCCCGCAATGTGATGGCGGTAGATTCAGGGACATTTGAGCATACAACAGTCCGGGCACTGTTGTTGGATCCCTTTTTAATCGATCTACAAGGTATGGTACTCGTATGTCTTGACTTGTTGACAAGTGATTGTTTGCTCTTTTTCTCTTCATTTGCGTTAACGGTGTTTACAATGGAAGAGGACGCAACGGCGGCCTCTCGGTGGACCCTTGCAGCAATCTCTGCATATGTAACCGATGTTCTGGGAGGCTTAGTCTTGACAAGAGATATTTGAGCTACAGGTACCAAGGGTTGGTGTTTGGCTGCTTCATCCTTGTTAATGCTAGATGTCAGGTCTAGTGGAATTTGCTTAACCAGGCGTTTTGAATGGTGCCTGATTTTCGTTGCCGTGTGTACTGTTTGATTCACGTAGGTACAGTCTGTTTTCGCCCGGCGTTCTACCAAAGTTGGAGAAGACAACTGAGATGGAGACGTGGATGATTGCGGTGCAGGGGAAGCGGATTGTTCAGCATTCCGTTGCTTAGCAGCCGCAACGCTTCTGTGGTCCATACTCGCTTCCAAGATGCAACTGTTTTCTGCACATTCTAACGAATATCATGTATGCAGCTTAACGGAAAATGAATTATTGACGCTATCACGACTTCCAAACAAGATGCACTGATTTGATCGAAGTTATTCCCAACGCGCATGGTTCACATAAAGCTGCAGAATACCTTTAAACCGCAGAACATCCATTTGGCAGCGCGCTAACAATCGGTTAAAGAACGGGTGCAATATTTGTGATCGGACACACATCATACACATCCCAATGACTAGGACTCCCCATTCTAACTAATCTAACAACTTATGCCAAAAATGGCGTTTCACTGCCTACAAACAGAGTTGGAATTTTGACATTTACGGTATACTGTAAATATCGCCAGTCACTTTACGGTCGATTTTCTGTACATGATTAAGCTTTTAGGATTATGCCGATAAACGCGTTGTAAGAACCATAAGAGCCAGCGGAAATATTTGCTACGTCAAACATGGCTACGAAAAGCTGAGGTATCAACAGCTCAAATTGGAAAACCAATACAGTTGGTTTGACTGTCGCTAGAATTTTTTCATTGAATTTGGTATCAACGGAATGCTCTTCTTACGCATGTCATATATGTACCCACGTTTTCCATGTTTAGTAAAATGACTCGACCACACCAAAACCCTCCACTTCCGTGACGGTCCCAGTGACCGTATTGCCAGAGGCTGACTTCAAAGTCAACCGACGCCACGAGATTGCGCGTCGCAATCCAATACAAACGGCGGGTGCTCCAAAATCCGAAACTCTACTACTACCAGGTGTCAAACACTGCTCGCGGAGCTCAATGGCCTATTGACCATGGCGATAGCCGTCAAGCACTATGCACCGAGTTCCACTCCCAGCACGGCTATCACTACCTGATGAGTCTAAACAAAGACGAAACTGTCGGTTGTGGTGTGCATAGATGGGAGAGAGCCACACCGAAACCATCCACGACTCGACCACGTTTTACCGCACTCCCCATAAATGACATGACACCTGCTCATCGAGTGTCGGCAAGATGCGGAAAAATAGCGCATTCCAGCCGCTCAGGAAATCCGGGTGGAACGACTTAGACGTGGTTAAGTTAGAAAGTTTACTGTGCTGGCTAGTAAAGCCTTGGCTTTTTCTTCCGTATTGTTCCATAGTCGTACTCATTAAATTCCACTTTGGTTCAGGTAAGAGTTTGCGAACGAGTTTGGCGTTTTTACCTGTCGTATCAGTACTCCTGATGAATTGTGTTATTCCCATATTGATCCTCCGGATTTTAACAATACCCGCTGATCAGTATGTTGTCAGCGTGATGTCGCTGTCTGCCCAGACGAAAAAGCGGTACGTGGAGTGTTGTACCTTCTTAGCTGGGTAACACTTGCACGGGTGGACGTGTGTTATGGCACGTCAGCATGTGATATAAAATGAGATGTCAGGTTTAGCTGCAACCGATGAGGAGACTGTCCATTTGTTGGATATCAACAGTTAAAGAATGGATCTAGGAAATGTTACCAATGAAAATAGGATGGCCTAGTGTTTCACCAAGGGTTAAAATCAGACTCGCACTTTTTGGATCCCTGGCATGCATGCTCTTCCATATCCAACATGTGTGAATGATTAGCATGCACACACAACAACACGAGCTGAATGCCCACAAAATGCGCGCGGCAAATGATGCATCCACCCCGACGGGTTTGCATCGGTGTGTGTGAGTGTGGGGCTGCAAATGACACAGTGTACGCCATTGACAATCTTTCAGTAGGCGTTCTGTGATTAGTAGCAGTTACGGCGGTAGAACACCGCACACAGCCGACAGCGACAAGGTGCGTCGCACCGCACACATCCAATGTGGCAAAAAGCAAAACCAATCGAGCAAACAGAAGCGATATAGAGGGATGGTATGAGAAACGAGAACTAGTGTTTTGTAGAAAGGTAAACGATGCGAAGATGCCGTTAACTTCGTGATTATACCCTGTCAGATAAAGTATTTAGGCACTGCTGCGGCTTACTCCGTGGCGACATTGTAAGTGTGATGTAAAAATACGCAAGACCAATTGCGCTTGGAACCGTTGGGTCACTCAAGTATCAGTGAGCCTCACAACAGAAAAGATAACAGACTCATGACCTTACTGACCAACTGATATCCGGATAACTTGGGCACAAATGACTGAATCCCTGATGCCGCTTCACTGTGGACTATAGAGCGAAGTACACAATAAGAGCAAACTATCAAACCTTGCACAAGAAGGAATGCGGAGACACAAGGCATGGGGTATATTGGTCCAAAAAAGTGTGCAAGGATCTTACCCTTGTTCTTTCAAACTAGCGAGACTCGCTGCACCGGACATTAGGATACCATCCAAATGTCGACTAGCGGCAGACAGACGCGAGTGATGCTCTAAGTCAGATTCAAGTTTGACCACAGTTGTACTGGAACTGCCGCGCAAAGTAGCATTTGTGCTAAATTCATGGGCCAATAACTCTTCACGTTCACTGAGTTGGCGCTGTTTGAGAGCCCTTGGGGTAAAAGAATGAGGGAATTTGCGAAAATTAAAAGTAGACAAACAGAGGATGAGCTGGAAGACGATGTATTGAGGGTGAGAATGCAGCTGTGAAAAACGCCAAATAATAAGTAATCTGGTAGCCGAATAGGTGAGAGGCGAGTACTAGTGATCTGCGCACGCGAAGGCAATGGCAACATCTCTAAGGCGGCTCAAGAGGGAAGCGTATGAGGTCACAATTGTTGTTGGGCGGCTATGCAAGATACCTGCGCAATTAATTATTAGTCCATTTACATGGGTTACCGCACATACCACAAACAACCTGATGAAGCTTGGGCACAGATGTGCGCAAGTTACTAGAATGTAGTACAAGTTCGAGATGTCGCCTAAAAAGAAGAATACTGTTAGAAAAAATGGTGAAATACGAGCGAGAGTATGTAAAACGACGGAGATGGCAGGAGGTATAACAAGTGGTAGTCCCCGACTTACTGTTTACGCTCTATCGCCTGTAGACTGGACAGATGATATTTGCACTCGTGTCGCATCTGATCCAACGAGAGGCGCAGCTGGGATCGGCGTGACACCGGCTCTAGAGTGAGGAGTAGGTTCGCCAGCCGGTCGCTGTTGGAACAGATCTGTAAAACGAAACAATGGGGAAAATACCACTGAATATTAGATTTGAATTCAGCGCAAAAGCTTTTATCAGGAAATAAAAAAGAAGACAGATCGATCTGTTTATCAAATGAGGAGAAAAAGTGGATCGAATTAGTCCGTTTTGGGATAATTGCCCGAAGGATAGTTACACGGCTCGACGATTGCTAAAGGAAGTTACTAAACCCAACTCTATTATCAATATGCAAAGATAAATGAAACTGGATGTAGTTAACAAAGTTGACGCCACAGGATCATCTTCCTGTCGTTGGGGATTGTTTAAGGCAGTCAGCTAATCATCCACAACAGCGGGGGAGGAGAAGTGGTGAATGAGCACTTATCCATCAGAGAAAGAAGCTACTAGAAGAACTTAACGGCAGCAATCACAAGTGAACACTAGTCCAATCATACCCAACAACGTATGGCGGTGACCCTTATGTAACAACCATAAGCTACTATTACGAACATGACGATTGCGAGATTCTTATACCAAATGAAACAGGCGGAGCGGATCCTGGAAACACTGTTCTTCTCGATTTGTGGTAGTACTGTAACCGACATTCCGACTGCTTTAGCGCGGATACCAGACTGCGGAATATATCAAGTCGACGAAATCAGGATCGCCTACGCCTGAGTGATATCGGTTCAGCTGGACAGAACGTTAACAAGTTAGGTGACATAAACTGCAGTTACCCATCCCACAATCAACAGTGGCTGCATACCAAAGAGGACGAAACGATCTGAAGGTCGTCACATATTGTTCGTATCGACATCTTTCGGTACAGCTGAGTTAAACAGATTTCGGAACAACCAACTCGACCACCATTGACAAACAAGGAGGTAACCGATGCTTAAAACTTATACATTTTGTTCACTATGAACACTGAATGCGTGCACGAGAGCTTCAAATTTCTAAAGGCAGAAGAACGACAGTTGAGAAAGGGAACCGGGTACCAGCACAATGTGACTAGGAGAGGACGGTTCTATGCGAGCAGTTTGGAGAGAACAGCAGTAAGATGAGAGAGTGAATAGCTTACACACTTCCTCTGGGCACACAATATGAAAGAGAGCGACAAGACCAGTCACTAATTAGTGGTGATAAGAGCTTAACAGATACTTTAGTGCGATGTAAGTCGCTCGGTTACCAAGTGTTGGACGACAAAAATATCACTCATGTATTGCACAAGTAACGCTGGTTTACTAGGGTCTTCAGTGTGTAGTGGATAGGGCTCTGATCAGTGAAGTAACCATAACCACACGATGACATTGTATCCTCTGCCCTCCACCGACAAACTAATATGACGCAATCCAAACAGATGACTAAGCATTCGAAGTCATAAGAAGATTACTTGTGCGCCATAGCCTTTTAAGTAAGCTGCATGGATCAAGCAGCCACTCCCAGTGACTGTTGGAAATGGTGTCAAGCGCATACCGAAGCGTGAGGCTGCGTGTCACTCTATCCAGAAGCAGATAGGTGAACCACAAAGAAAATTACGTCGTCCATGCACTCTAATTCTGTCAGCTACTGGTCAAGAGAATTAACCTGCTATAAAAGGATCAAAAGAAATAATCATGTATAATACTTTCGACAACCAAACTGGAGAGACAGGGCATCCAAATTAAGCGGTGAAAGCAGAGAGAAAGTTTTCATAGGTTAGTAAACGAGCTCTTGAGCCATAATAGAATGAAATCTACACGGCAAACCATACAAAATTAACATAATCACAAGCGGATGTGATCGACTGAATCAAATTTGGCCTTCAATGTTGTGTATAGGCACAGTCCGGTTCAAACATCTAACGAAGAAAAACACTGTCGGTACGATCCGGATCGGTCCTTAGGGGGACCAGTTGGACACTGCGATTTCACACAGACGAAAGTTTTAGATAAGTTGCGACAAAGTTAGTACCTCGATGATCCTTACGAAACCACTTGGCCATATACAAAGATGAGAATGACAATTGGTGACCACCAATCAAGAGCACTGCTATGAGACAAATTGTGCCAGTGGCTAGGCTACGCAACATGGAGTCGTCAACAACTTCCAAGGACGATGGGAAGTTTTCGAGATCAAGCAAATCGCTTCGCTCCAAAATAAGCCCGCAGAAGAATCTCTGTCCTAAGGATATGTGCCCAAACGCGTTACTGGAGTGTTCGCCGAAATCCTGGACTCAAAGTGTAAGTTGACAAGGCAGAGAGTGGATCTATTGTACTCTTGCTCCCAGGCTATCCTAGTGCTACCAGTAAGTCAGCGGTCCATGTTGGGACCATATCCAGTACCTGCTGGCATGTATCACTAGATGTAAGTTTACACAGACATCCTAAAGTAGACCTAATCAGCAGCTGTGATCACCAGTTGCTAGGATGAGAAAGGATACGTAAGGTACGTGCCTATAAAGTTCATGAACTCAAAGTTGGAGTTGGAGAATCCGCCGTGTGGTTGGATTGCTACAAGCAACCTCTATTGAGACATTGGTTCACTTGAGGTGGACCTCGGTCGTTCCGATCACAAGGACCGTATGAGAAATAGAAATATTTTGGTGTTATTCATCCCAACACTGGCACTGTGGGGTGGAAAATGTTGGGGTGAGCAACACCAAAATATTTCCATCCCAAGATGAGCTCTTGATTCCCCGTGATATCTGTGTTGCAACCTTTTGTTGTATCAGTATCGTGATTCTTGCGATTCAAGCGCACTGAACGCTGGCTGCTAAGGAAGAGGCGATCAGTATAGATTTCCCCTAGTCAGTAGACGATAGGGAGAAATGTGAAATACCAGCCACAGTGCAATCTCTAAAAGTGCAGATTTTAAAAAATAAGCAGTTGGCGGAAACATCGACGATGAACATGTGGGCGGGAAGACGCATCAGTAGCACGCCGGTAGGTAGTACCGAAGCTTCGCTGTCGCGCAACCAACACCGGTCGCACGTGGGCTAAGAGTACTGCGAGGGTCCGCTCGGTCCCTACGCAGGCACGAACCCGCGTCCTCACATTACAAGGCAGGCTTTAAGGCTACGGGTCGGCTGTGACGGAAAAAATCAATTGAACCCAACTGCAGGAAAGAAAAGCGCTAAATATAAAATGAACTACATCGCCGGGTTGCGCCAACAAGAGAAATACGCGACAAGTACGGTTCCAGCAACTCCTACTGCTAAACAGCCCACAGGTGATAAAGGAAATGTAGAGGAGTGTGGCGGATAACCTTGTACCGGATTCTTGACATCTGGGAGTGAAAAATGGGTCACAATCGTCAATGGACAATAGTTTCGGAAAGCGAAAGTCCGCTGCTGTCACAACAAGCAGACGATCCCAACACCAATACTGGATGTAAGTACCGACGAGTCCCAGAGCACCCAAACTCCATTGTAACAGGACAGTGAAGCTAGAGAAACCATTACGCCGCGACAGCCTTGTTCATGCCCAGCAAAAGTCGACTACAAAATTGGTCTTAAATGCATTAAACCGTCTGTGACAAGTGGAGAACTGTAGTGGAGCAAGAAATCAAGGGAATGGCCTAATTAAATCTATAACGATGATATCTGCCAAATAAACCAACAGAGGGAAACATGAGCAAAAAGTATGGTTTAACAACATGTACACAGAAGATAAGTTCTGAGAGAATATTATTTCTGCGTTACGCGTAATTCAGTGGGCTAAATTCGTTTGGCTCAGCGGAGAAACTGCGGTGACAATAGAAACTGTCGACAAACAGACCAATGACAAAGAAGCAGTGGAAGAACACAGAGTACACTTTAATTAACATCGAGTTTCAAGACCACTAAAGTGAAAATATCGCGCCACCTGGATCCTTCTAAGCGGAATACGAACGACGGCGATCTACGAAAAAAGCTTCATGCCACCCGCTCACTTTAACAAACTGGTGAGTCGGCGGGCTAACTCGAGTGATGGCTTTCCAACAAAAGGGTGGATGTGACGATTATTTCTAAGCCTGTGATAAAATCCATGAGACACATTCAAACAGAACCCAAAGAATGCATCAGACATCAAAGTAAGAAGAAAGTATATAAAATAAGTAAACAAATCATCGGAGATCCTCACATGCTTCAGGTTTGAATACACATCACTGATCGCCTTGCTTATTTCCGGAACTTGATGCAACGACGTGATGCCAGCGATACTATGTTCTAAGTTGGCAAGGTCGTTTGGAACACGGTGTAACAATGCCTTGGTTTGTTGAGACAACTCATCGTATTGCATCGTCGAGCTGAAATGAAATGTGAATGAACAGGCGGGGTGCAGGTAAAGCATCCAAACAAAACGGTCTGATAACTGGATTGAGTTCATCGCAGCAGCTTTCAAGTTAGATCGCCTACGATGCATCCGGAAAAGCAACAAAAGGCTGTTTGGTCCTACTGGGACTCGGTACTGCTGCGTATCCCCTTGCTTTATCTGGAACCGACGCCATGACTTCTCGATACTAGCAGCCAGCTACATTAGAAACCAGTTTATGCCGCTGTGATGAACTATCAATACGTTTATATAAAAATCCCCTACTCATTAATAATTTTAACACCAGCTCTAATCATAAAATGCTATGTCGTATATAGCTGCCTTTGGGTGAAAACGTGACTCTGCAAGACAGTCTTGTCCTCTACGGTATTCGTAACTTGAATGGCAGTAGAGGATGAGTCGTGTTGTCGCAGTTAGGTTGCAAGTCTTCTGCAGTCACTGGTGGCCTAGTGGCACAAGGCGCTGGCTAGTAGCGCTAGGCGCTAAGATCGAGAGGTCATGGCTACAGTTATTAATGGAGCCAGGCGATGCGCAGCACTAATGAGTCCAAACGGGACGAAACAGCCGTCTGGTGCATCCATGGATGTATGATAGGCCATCTAACAGGGAAGCTATTGCGGTGAACTCTCAATACGGTTAAATAAAAAGCACCAATTCATTAGCATCTGTTAACGTCAGCCTTTGTGCATAGGCGACAGGCTCCGTGAGTTTACTCTGTGGAGTATTATTGCGGAGCTGATGGAAATTTAAGTTTTGCTACTCAGCATTCGGCTTCTAGATTCAACCCAGTGTTTATTAGTCACTGCTGACTCCAAGCAACTCGTCTTGTTATATAGTTTGGTCCAAGAAACCTGAAGTGGTATCGTGGCATCAGTGCCTATGCGAGTCAGTAAGTACGACTGCCCGCCGAGTCGAGGTTGAACAATGCATATATTAGTAACAGTCTAAGAAACAGACAGAGCAATGGAAAGCACCGGAAAAAGACAAGTTTAATCACCGCATCATCATCATGGCCCATTGGCTGAAGATGAGAAATACACTTCAGCTATTACGCCGTAAAAAACGAGCATTTTCTTGTTATTTTGCATACGCCATTATTTCGTTTGCTTGTGTTTTTCAATTGTTAAACTTTAAGCCCCTGAATCTAAACAAATATGTACAAGGATCTTCCATTGGTTTCGAATGCGTATCATATCCCGAATTTCATACAGGATTTCCCCTTCACAAGCTACGAAATAGCAAGAAGAAACAACATTTTAACAGAATAATCGTAATTCAGATAGTTCAGGTCTTTTCACCAGCTTTGTACAGACAATCCGTGGAATCAGTATGCTGCACACACAACGGTAGGACATCGCGTGAAATGGTTCTGTTTAAATAAAGCTAATCGCTAACCTCACCAGGGCGATTCGTCAGATGAAACCAGATGGAGTTTGTGACTACGCCCGCCTTGCCCATTAGCTTTATTTAAACGGGATGATTTCACGCATTGTCCTACCGTTATGTGTGCAGCATACTGATTCCACGGATTGTCTGTACACAGCTGATGAGAAGACGCGAAATATCCTGAACTGTTTTCAGCCATCGATACTCTTCGTCCTTTGGTCCCCAGCTAGGCAGGCGTGTGGATCCAACGGCAGCGAGATGTGGAGTCAACGATTTCATATGTTGTCGTCAAGTGAAGGTCTGACCAGCGCGTGGTCCTTTCCAGTTAAGTCTTGCACGAGCGAAAGAAGCGCTCGGCTGAAATATGCAGGACGTGACCGAGCCATCTTAACTGATGCAGAAAAACCAGATTGTTGAAGTGAGTACCCTAATTTCACTGTTGCAGATAGGTTGTTGCCACCACACACGAGCAATCCCCCTGAAGTATCCACTGTCGAACGCTGAGAGCCGGCGCATGTCATCCACGTGAACTGACCGCGACTCGCTCCTATATAACAAGACCGCTCGAACGGTGGCATTGCAAACACGACTCTTTACCAAAAGGAAGACATAACGACTACACCACAAACGTTAAAGGTTGACAAAAGCTGACCGAGCTTCGGCGATAAAAAGGGAAACTTCGTTCACAACAGTGCCACCAGCAGAGATGCAGTTGCCCAGGTAGACAAAGCTATCCACTTGTTTAAGGTGTGTAACTTCAGGAGTGAGAATGGCAACAGGCGGGTGCCAATCGTGAAGCGGTACTTTGCATTTCGACGTGGCAAAACAAATTAAGTATCTAGATCCCTTAATCGCCAAAAGGTCTAAAATGGTTTGCATACTCTGTGAGCCGTCGCCAAGTGAGGCAATGACATCGGCCTAACCTAAGCCGATGGCTCGCTTGCCCGGTAGCAACTGTAGACCAAAATTTTGGTAATCTTCCAGAGTTCTCGACAGGGCGTTTTCAATCGCAAAATTAAAGAGGAACGCTGACAAAGTTCAGCCCTGTCAATAACGTTACTGATAATGAAAGACGAAGAATGGTTGCCGCAGAACGTCACTCTGCCGGAGATGTGGGCAGTGTGTGCGTAAGATGGTACTGTACCTTTTAGGGTCCCAGTTCTTTAGCAGGCAAAGCCATAGTGCAGGTCGATCAACCGAGTCGAAGGCAGCACGGATGTCTAGAGATGTAACAACGGTAGACTTCTGATACAGGTGACGATGTTGTAGGATTTGATGCGGCGTGAATATTTGATCGACACACACCAACAGGCAGGACGGAAGGCAGCATGTTCTTCCCGGTAGCGCGATTCACGTATGGAGGAAAGTCAACGGAACAGAATGGATGCTAATGGTTTGGAGGCAACCAAAATGAGACCAATCTACCGATGAATGGTGCATGAAGTGCTAGTGTCATTCTAGAAAATCGGGATAACAACTGACTCGGCCAGGTAAGAAGGCACCTTTTATTCAAACCCGTGTTTGAAGAACAGTAAGAAAGCAGATTGATGATAACTGCGCGTTTATAGTTGAACAGCTCCAAAGAAAGACTGTTTGAGCCGGTAGCTTTGAATCGTTTCAAGTTTAGAGTCGTAAAGAAACTTCTGCATCGCTGAATGGATCAGGTGTGATGAGCAAGGGTGGGAAGCTGGGTTCGCAGGGCATACATGTGGACGGTGAGGGCCTACTGAACTGGGAATGAAAACGTTCGGTCCATCAATCCAAACGTTGCTGTAGGTTGGCAATTGGAGAACGATCTGCCTCGCAAATAGTCTCGCTGACACCAAATTTGATGTGGACAGTGGATCGAACGAGCTGGAAGTGATTGTGAGTGTTGCCAGAAAGGGTAACAACCCCCATTTCGGAAACGCACTGAGACCGCTAAGCTTCATGATCACTGCGTAGGTTTTGTTTGAGTTGCCGACTGACAGAACGGCACACTTCATTGTGATTAGACTCTTTTAGGTTATTTCTGCTGCGATCAAATAGATCCAAAGAGCGCATGGAGATCCAGGTCTTTATAGGGTGCTGAGTAAGACATACTAGCTGTCCGGAAGAGATCATGGTCCTCTGTATACACGCCCAGTGTCCATCAATGTCTTGCGGTGGGTCGCAGCTGAGTGCATCGGCCAGGGAAGGTTGATGGCCCAGCTGAACCGAGAGAGTATACCGTTTATTTGTATTAACATTACAGTGCTTCATGTTTGGTGACCCTCCGAAATTCACGTAGATGTTCACACAGAAAAAAGCATGGTCTGAGTCAATAAATGTGGATTAGATTAATTTGCAATATTTTACACTAGTTCGCCATCTGAAATTGGTTGCGATACGATCAATCTGAGACCATTATTGAGACGCAGAAGGGGTCGTTAAGTAGCGGAACGTCTTATCGAACGCCGGAAGCTCCCCAGAACAACAGATAGCACTGAATAAGTTGCGTTGGATCGGGCACGTACTACGCATGCCTGGTCACCGCTTACCTAGGAGGGCCTTGTTTAGTCTGCCAGGTGTAGGGAGGAGCAAGACTCGAGGTGGACAGAAGTTGACTTGGCAGCCGGAAATGAAGTCACTGACGACCAAACTGGGTTCCGTTGGTCCGTCTCGCCTTCCGGGGAGTCCACGTGACTCGCCTTGTGCTTTGCTCGAGACTTTACAGGACATGGCTCGCAGTAGACACCAGTGGCGCGTCTGCTGCCGTCTCCTAATTGGATTGCCTGTTTAAAGTGTGTTTGGTGTTGAGTTATCTGTGGGGTAATGGCTGATTATGACGCGTGGCAGTGGAAGCCGCCAGGAAACTGTCTCGCCGATGCCACCTTAGCTTTGCACGATAGCCAGTTGTTTGTGACGGTATGTTGTTTACACAAGGTGTAGGCGTCTTGACCCGGAATGTTTGCTTAGGGCACTAAGGCTTTCAGGTAAGTTCCCATTCTCTCCCTCTTCTTATTCTTTATTTCATAGGTCATCATGGTTGTATGGCAGCGAAGCATCAGCTCTGCTGCTGCTGATGATGAAATCGAACGCCAGAAGCTGGTTCTCCAGTGATACAGATGACTGTCTTCGCACAGTGTGAGAAGTCTCCATTATCTGAGCGACTCTCGTTCAAGCGCATGGTGACCAACGAGATCTTTCGCGTGATTATAGACGGCCGACAAGTGTGTTGAGTTCCCAAGTAAGAACAACAATATCGGATTTGAAAGCTCTGCTCAACAGCCGGTGAAGTTCAAGATGGAAATTGCCCTTCACTGAGTCACAACTGCAGTCAATTGGAGCATATGCTGAGATCACAAGCAAGTTGCTTCTTTCTTCACCATGTCTCTTGATCTTACGTGATCGCCGAAGCCGAAGTGCACATGAGCGGCCTCAGCTTTGCAACTGTTATACACTAACGCCACCCAAGCCTGCCGCGGTTGCTTCTGTCACCAGATAGACGTAGGTGAAATCAGTCTGTGTGGTCGGTGGGAGATCTCAACTCAATTACACTACTGGGATCCTGCAATCAGGTCTGGGAAGGACAACAAACAGCGATGGTAAGGGATCCCAAAGTGGGCGCAAGACCAGCTTGCTGCTCGAACTGCAACAGAAACAATGAAGAGTAGAGAAGATAAGTATGAGAGAAGAAAAAGAAAATCCAGGGAATAGAAATAACTGTGAGGCAGAAGAGTAAACGACAAGAAAAAGAGACTGAATCGAAGAGTGGGAAATGGAAGTGGGGAATACACAATGTCAGGGAGTTGCAGACCGCTTCAATGAGGAGGATGCAGGACATATTCACGAAGAGATTTTCGTAGACCTTCTCATGTCAAGTTATCAGGTTCTCACTGAGAAGCTTCAATGAACAGGGCGATTGTGGGAAAATAGGAACAGAAGAAGTATGTTGCATGGAGGTGCTCGAAAGATCTGACCAAAGGTGCGCCGACAGTCGGAGCTCAACAAACAATGTTGTGAGCGGGTCGCCAAATAGGGAAAGACAGATGTCAGCCGCGTGCACTCGACGGTGTAGTAACACACCACAGCGGTCAATCAAGACAAGCATTCCAACATCCTCAAGTGAACTGGTCATGATTCTGGTCTACAGATAATACCCACTGCAGTGTTGTACGCTTCGTCCATAAGCGACAAGCTAATGACAAGCCACATAAAAAAGTGGTGGAAGATTCGATGATGTGCCCATTGATGTGCACCGTAAATCTCTCCGACGAGTTGATCACAAGTGACTACAAAGGTATCCAGATAAGTAGACGGACCAACCATTTCTGGTGGTTGTCGGGAGATGATGAGATTCGGTGAGATTTAAACGGAAATTTGTACTGGTAAAAAGCAGTTTGGAAGTTCGAATCGCACCCCTCGAAAACTCTCAAACAGCATCGAGTGACCGCAAACTCTTGAGTGCACCATACAGTGCTGAATGGTGCGACAAAGTCAACAAGTAACAGGCGGCCGTTGCCTTTTCGGGACGACGAAGTGAGGTAGCCAGGTTTACGCGCGAGTAGAAGCGATGTATCAATATTTCGGACGGTTTCAAACGATGCACGAGACAACAGTGAGAATGTTGACTTGCAAAACTGCGCTGTTAGACACCATTCAAAGGTCGAAGAGGGTGAAAATGTATCGGCTGTCTATTTTTAACAGCAAATACTTCCCTTACGCCGTTTTTCATCGATTCGTGTTCCGACAAGTCCCGTAACTTTTTCCTTCCGCGATGACAGACGTTTTTCAGTTAATCCGCAAAGCTCCTTATGGAAAACAAAGCCCTTGAACAAAGGTTAAAGCAAAGTGATGATGAAGAGCAGGAAGTGAGTAACCGCCTCAATAACACTGATGGAAGTAGCAAAAACCAATCAGGAATTCGAACGCTTCCAGCTAGGTTCCGAATGGGCTTCCCGCCAGTGTTATTTCTATGACGGTTGACCACCTATCTCGGTACATGATGTTTTCCGATTCTATGTCTGGCTGGATGAAATCTCTGGGTGGTAAACTGATGGCAGCTCAAACTGGCTTGAAAAACTCCCCCGATAGTGGACAATGCCATATCAGATGGGGGCTTCGTGATAGGTTAAGGCAGAAGTTGGGGAGAGAATTCGACGTACCAAAATCACTAGGCGCTTGCATGTGACCCTTCAGCTCTTGCTGCCGTTGGTCGGCAGTGCTCTCAGTATCTTGACAGTGAGAGCCCCAGTGGTTGGACCCACCGTAGTTGGGTGCATGGATCATTGGTGAGCAAAAGAAGCGCAAATTGACTGAGAAAGCCTACCGTAGGATTAATGGCGACCATTTCGAACGGCGTTCGGCTCGTTTCTTCGTTCCTCAGCAGTGAGGGATGCTCTGATTAGACATCACTGCTTTCTGTTTCGAAATGTGAGTCCAGGCGAGGAGTTCTTAACCTAGAATTCGGCTAAATAGAGTATGAAAAGACGTGGATGTGCGGACGGACAGCAAGGTATGATGGGAATCTGGTTTGGAGATCCAAATATACCGATACTCCTGCAGTGATGCGCGCCAACTGCAGCAGGTGGCAATACCTTCCATTTTTGCACAGGGCATCGACTCGTTAGATGGTGGGTCGCAAACGTTGGGATGGTTGTCACGAAACCCATCATCACTATCAACGTAACGAGTATTGGATCCAAAGCAACACGTTGGGCGCTGCGAATGAGATAGAATTGAAAGAAGGTGGGGTACAGAACGGTTCTTGCCTTAAAACAAATTATTGAGGCAGGATGCAAAAATATGGAGGAAATGGACATCTGACAAATTGTTTCCGCAGCATCATGGATAAACAGTGCTGGCATGCAATCCACCGAAGTAGACGTCGGAGTCCATGAGTCTATAAAAAATGACAACAATTGAAAGATGACTGACAGTACTACATCACGAAGAGACATTTCACTATAACAAAGAGGAAATGGGGGGAAATTGTGCTGTATCAATAGTTGTATTGATAGTAATAAAGGCTATAACAGTAAGTCGGGTGTAGTTTCCACAGCCGTCGTTCAGAACGAGCAAGAGGAAAACAGCACAAGAAATGTTGTTGATTACAGTGTCGACGGTCATCGATCCACTTCACCAAAGACGATATCCAAGGTGCCTGCAAAACAACCCACGGTATGAAGCAAGCATTAGTGATTCCGAAGAACTGTCACCCAGTGTGTAGGACAAATGCAAAACTACACCCTTAGTAGGAGACAAGTGCACTGAATGAAATGCTACGTTCGCGGAAGGAGAAAAGAAAAAACTGAGACCAATGTAATAGCTGTGACTATTAAGTGCAAAAGGAAGTGTGATGGAAGAACGGCGTCGAGTGCGCCCACATGGATCCGTCAAGTCGGGTAACGAAATGTGGATGGTTCGAGATTAACACTTAGTGTATCAGTAAAAGGCAACAAAAAACAAAGCTAGATTGAGGCATTGTGAGTCACAAAAATCAAACCTACACATGAAGTCGATCTTGTTGGTTGTGTGCACACTTGAACACACTATGAGATTGTTCGTACTCAGGAATAGGAATTGGCCTAAATATTTGTTGGGCTGGCGCATTCAGTTTCCATGGATGGATGCCTTAGAGCCAGTAATAGCAATGAGTAGAGATACAACTCGAGGGAGTGCAGTTGCAGGGACAAGGGCGCTCCTGTGTTAGACCGGTGACTGTAAGTTGTTAACTTCCCAATTCCATAAATGCAGCTTATGATTTTCTCTACTCTGTCATCCTTCGTATTCTATTTTGCATTTGAAGCCATCTCTATGCACCTATTACTCATCATCATGGTGGCGTGAGTCGTGGTAACTGTAATCATCGCACCACAGCATATCTATAACTGAACTGTTGTGAGCTGGTATGAACAATATCACGTTGTAACACAAATGATCGTGCCACCTGATCTGGCATCCACTGCTTCGGATACGCGGGTCTTTTTCCCAGGTACTGCGTCTAGGATGACCAACGGATACCACTGCAAAAGACATGAAAAAATGGTCGACAGTGGGTAGCATCTTCTGAGATGACGGCTAAGGGACAGACGGGGGCAGTGATTAGGGATCTTACCCGACACGCCAGACATTCGTAGCATACATCTGGCTTTATCCCATGTCGTTAACATTTCTATTCCACAGCTACATCCACTTATAATTCCACCAACGTATTTTTGTCTTGCGAATTTGTATGCTGCTTGCTGGTTGAGAATCACAACCACCGCACGTCGGTGCTCAGGCCACAGTTTAATAAGGACGATGAATGAGCTACAAGATGAATTATAGATGCAGGGTATGACACGCAGTTTAAGCAGCCTATGCACGCAGGAAATAAGCTAAGTAACGCGATAAATGTGGGAGACGAGGAACATATCACACTGCACCATGTGCTTGCTGCTGCGGCGTAACAAAGATTTAGCCTATCTTAAGTGCTGCAGGGCACATTATGTCGAGGACCAAATTCGGTGCATTTGTATGTGGGACCAATGTGTTGATTGTCCTAGTGCACGGAAGTGAGAACAGCAAACGATAAGGTAAGTCCATCAAAGGTAAGCTAACTTGGTGAATCGCTGTGACAAATGTCGAAGACATAATAGTGGGCTCACGTTGAAATGGTAAGGTTATTTGGGTGTACCGTGAAGTAATAAACACTGTCATGCAGTACGGTTGCCACATAGGATAGATGAAATCACAGACAAACCTAAATGTCTGAAGTATGCAAAATCAAGGCTTTTACATGGTCGCGAACAGATGCCAATTGCGTGAAGATGCGGGGAAATCGGTGAGGCCGCCTACTTGTGGGTATGTGTCGCAAATGGTGATCGATTTCTAGAACCTGAGAATTCTGATGATGAAGCACTTGTAATTGAAGCACACAGTTCAATGAAGAATAGCAGCCAATTCAAAACAAAAATGGCACTCGAAAAAATTAAAAGACTATAATAAGTGGGGGTCAAGTGAGTGAATTGGAAAGGTAAGGACATTATCAATAGGAACCGGTTAATGGATACGATGCCAAAAGTGCCACGGCTTACCGATCACAGCGACCACATCGGCCAAAAGGAACCCACGGCATAATTTATCTATCGCTGCTAAATGTGCAAATCCTGGGGCTTTTATTTTGCATCTGTAAGGTCGACTACTTCCATCGGAAACCAAATAAACGCCAAATTCTCCCTTGGGTGCTTCAATCGCAGTGTAAGTAGAACCAGGAGGGACCTGTGAAGAGAGGAAAAAATGTGTTAGTCATGAGTATCACCGTGAATAAATGCGATTGGAAGGAAGACAAGATTAGCAAGATAAAGAAACGTGATGCGTGGGTTACATCGTTTACGAAACTGATGGGTTATAAAGGGGAGAACGAGAGTTAAAAAAAGAGCCGAAGTTTACCATGGAGAAAAATCTGTGAAGATATTTGGATGCGATGGAGTCCACCGTTATTCTTCAACAGGTCGCGAAAAAACAAAAACAGTCGAGCAGAGTAATGATGAAAATACGAGAATAACTAAATTAGTTTGAAAATGCAGTCGCTGTAGTAAAACATCACGAGTTGAAATATTATTGGCACAATCAGAAGTCGAGTGTCAGAGGCCACAAAAAAAAACTTCGGTGAATGAAATAACTGTCCTTACCTGATAACCTTCGGAGAAGAGTATGAAGTGGTGGATCAAGGCTTCCATGGAAGATTTCATATCGGATCGCTTTGGAGGAGAGATCTTCGCGTCATCAATCCTGATGTCACCAGGCGGCATTTTGTTCAAGCACTGCTCCATGATGCGAATAGACTGGCGCATTTCCTCCAGACGAATGACAAAACTAACGAGTAAATGAGAGTAAAATAGGGTGAGAAGCCGAAACGCAAAGAACTTGGAGGAAGGGAGAAATTACGGCGATACATTTATTGTTGTTTAGTTGTTGTTTAGTTGAATTTCAGTAAGGAAAAGGAGCCAATTTCGTAAAAGTAGCCGGCGGGGTAAGCCCAATCCCGAAGACGCTGATGAATGGCCGAACAAAAAGAAGCGATCTACTAGTGAAACAGTTCCCACAGTTCGTGGAGTAATCGAAGCTTTACGGATGGCATGGAATAACTATTCACATGACTCAGAACACAAGTCTATGGGTATTATTATAGTATTGAAAGCGTAAAAAAATTGGGATGGCAGCAGACATTACAGAAATTCACATCAACAATCAGACATCATTCGTGTGAGGGTCAATAGTGAAACCCAGTAAGCATGAATGTGTAGGAATGGGTGGAGGATTGATGATTTGTCCAGTGCGCGACCATTTTTGGAGCATTGAGGAATGCGATAAGCTCGCAATACCAATGGAAGGTGGTTCGTAGAGGTCACCAAGGAAATAAATTACCGAACAAAAAGGCACTGATGACAAAAAGACACCACAACCTGATGTATGTAAGAAATAATCGATCGTATTGCAGACACAGTCAAATCTGTCTAAGGCGACCACCCAAGGGAGCGACAAAAAGTGGTCGCCTTAAGCAGGTGGTAGCTGTAGACAGGTTCATACATAGGGGCATAACTCATAGGAGAAAAGATTCGGGATGTTATTGCTGATCGCCATGGCAGGTTGGACTGTAGTAGAATTTGGTTAAAGCTCAACACATGTTCTATATTTTAAAGGATACAAACAGCGCAAATAAAATAATAGATGTGAATAGATGCAATGGGGAAAAATACGACACAGTTATCATATGGGGAACAAAAAAGAGTTCAACACCATGAAAACCAGATGATAATACCTGAGAGGAAGAAAAATCTAGAATGGAGCAAGATATTGTCTCCAGTCTGGAAAGCCAAAGTAGTGCTATCAGTCAGTGCACTAACTGATAGCCTATAAACGAGGTAAAAATGGGGGTAAGTTACTGGGAATGGATTTAGAGAAAAAGACCATGTCAGATAACCAGATTACCACTGCCACCGACATCACTAATGTCGACAACAACATCAATCTTAACGTCACCAGCAGCAACCGAAGCAGTTGCAGTAGATCGGAGCTTCGGACTGGCGCATCGGAGTAACACAAGCGTGAATTGAGAGATGTTCTTGGTAAACAGCAATAAGAAGGAAGAGGGTTGGTGTGCACAACAGGAATTCCCCAGGAAAACAGTCGGAGTAAAAACATTCGCACCTCACCTACAACGTGTAAGCGTAAAAACTCCGCCTATTGTGTAAGGGCGAAACAGCTTCCCCGTGGTGTTCGTTGATAATTTGCACAACAAACGTAACTTCAAAGATACGTCAACTCCATACACAGTTGGAATGGACAACCCGGCCAAGAGTGGCAGTACAAGCGCTCGTGATACCGGTTGGGTGCCTTGCACCATAATGTCGCCAGCCAACCAAATGGTATGTGGTTGTGAAGAATCGTCGCAGCCAGATAAAGACAGCCACCACATATTCAGGAAAGCGTCAGACAACCGATTCGGCCCATTTGGACATATTAGGAACGTGCACCAGCCAAATCCTACCGCATATCAACCCACGATCTCAATCTTGCGAGTCAGCAACGTATGCCACTAAGCCATGGGCGACGGCAGCGGACAGTCATGACGGATATCTAACAGCGATATAGCGCAGCCTTCCCTCCACTGTCATGCATTTTGTGAGTGTGCAGAGGAAAGTGTTGGCCCCAGAGCGACGACTTCCTTTGCAAGTCGCTACAAATTGGGGTGGCATGTAAGCTGCGTAGGTGATTATTGATTATTAGTGAGTAGTAAGGGGGTTATTGCTAACCGGTACCACAATGCGGAAAACGAAATGGACCGACAGCAATCGCTCTAGCGTTCAGGGATTGTGTTTTCCGCTGCTATGGTTCTTCTGAGATAAGTGCGTAGGCCTAATATCAATGGCACTTCGTCGACAAGAGTCAAAGGATTGATAAGTAGATGATCATCCTACAGCATTTAGTACTCTGAAAAGGCAAGGTGCATGCCGAGAGGTAGTACTAATTCGGAGAAGGTGACGATCATTGACTGTAGCGTACTGAGGTCGGCAGATATGAAGACGAAGCCGAACGCATTACGCAGGTAAATCAAATTACCGGACATCCTCAGTACTAATGTAGTGTTGCTACCGTACATTAGCAATACTCCGAAGGCAACGGGGATCAAAGACAGACAGCCTCTGAAAGTCCTTTGCACGAACACGCCAAGTATCGCAACCGTAAAGCAGGATCGCTCCCACCGTGGCATTGTAGACTCAGCGTTTCAAGGATACTCAGGTCGCGGCGATGCCAGAGATTGCGGAGATCAGCAAACGCAACCCGGGCTTTGAGACGCACGAAAAGACCTCATTTGTTAAACTGTTAGCGCAAATGCAGCTTCCAAAGTAAAAGAACTTGCCAACCACTTCCAGAGATTGACCTGAAAGGGTAAGGGAGGGAACAGATTCTAGCCACTCCTGTACGAAGACGTTACACTTATAAGGGGCGGTCATTCCAAACTGGAAGGCAGACATCACGAACGTGCATCTCACATTTTGGGCGGCCTGTGAAAAACCACAAATTACGGCGATGTGATCTGCGTACTCCAAACCGCGAAGTCGGTTCCTGAAAGCAGTTCAACTCGGTTGGGTACGCAATGCTTCATGCGCTCTTCAGGTGATATGGTTGGCGGTATCCTGTAGCCAGCCACAGGACGTCTGCGCCTGCAGAGGTCATATATATATATATATATATATATATATATATATATATATATATATATATAGTCGCTTGCTTCTATAAACAACGAACTATACTGCTACATGTGGTTTCTCCTTTGACGCAGTTAGATAAACTTAAGAACTCAATGCAGCGCCAAATGATTGAAACCGTAATATCCGTCTTACATCAGATGTCTAGTTTGCTCCTTTGATCCATCTGTTCATTCTGATAAGACATTGCCATCATGCTGGTTCCACATGTGATCATTTTTAGTTCAGCGACGATTTTGTGGAAACTGCTGTCATTGCGTACTCAAAGTTGACAACATTCCTTCGATAGCACTGCAGGTAATAGCTACGAGGACAGCTGGGCCTATAACCCAATTTTTCCAAAGATGCCTGGATGAATAGCAAGTCCCCAACAAGTGGAAGCAGGGTATCATTACCGAGATTTTCAAGGCTGGTAACCGTACAGAGCCCGCCAAATATCGCGCAGTGATTCTCCTCCCGGTGCACTCAAAGGTGAAGGAGTCGATCACAGCTGAGGCACTGATAGACTACCTTGAAAGGTCTAACATCATAGCACCGGAGCAACACGGATTCCGTCAGCATCCGTCATGTATTACCAAACTACTGATTGCCCGTAGCAGTTGGACCGAGACAGCCGACAGTGGGACCGGCATTGATGTAATCTACCTAGACGTTACTAAAGACCTCGACCGCATAGATCACCATATCATTCTCCAAAAGCTGGGTTTGGAATCCTGTCCTTGGATAGATCGGAAACTTGCTCCTTCAGTGGCGCCTTTAGATTCGAGTTCGGAGCTCATTTCTGATCCAATTAATGTTGACTGTGGTATTCCAAATGGGCTGGGGTCGCGATTATTCTTGTTCTTCAATAACGATCTTGTGAGAGTCATAAAGTCAAATTTCTTGCTTTTTGCTGATGACAGCAAGATTTGGAGGGCAATCGACTGTCAGAAAGATCATGATATGTTGCAACGAGACAGATTGCGCTTTTGAATGGTCAACGTTAAATCTACTTCCGTTTAACAAGGACAAGTGCAAAACCGTGCATGTCCGATGCAAGCCCACGTATGCATTTAGACTTGGAGACGACATGCTGAAAGCCGCCTCAAAGGAGCGAGACCTTGGGGTGATGATGCACGGCGACCACGGCTGTTCAGGGCAGTCATTGAAGGCGTCAAAAACCGTAAATAAACATGTTGGTCTCTTACGGAGGGCGTTTGGGAGGTTCGACTCCTCCATCTTCCCCCAAATGCTCAATGCGTATTTGAAACCCCACGTAGAGTACGCATTCCAGGCCTGGTAGCCCTGTTTAAAACGCGATATGGCTGCGCTGGAGACCGCACATTGGAGAACAACCAAAAATATGAAGTTTATTCCACCTGCCAAACTATCGACTGGAAACCCTGGGAGTGTACAGCTGAAGATATCGCTGAGTACGAAGCGAACTCGTTCTGGCACACCATTCCTTGGAAAACCCTGGTCACGCTTGCCGTCATCTCCAGAAACTTCGCCACAACACAAAGCCAAGACAAGCTGTAACTGGCCAACCAATACATTTCGCTGGAATGGGGCCGGAATTATTTCCCCCTAGAATTTGTCGGCCGTGGAACGCTCTTTCGACTTTTGTCATTCCTGCGCCCACGCTGCCCATTAAAAAACGACTTGATGATGTAGGACACGACCTGCATTATTGGACTTGATTTCGGTTCAATGAGTGACGATAAGACGCAGAGAAACATTGTCCTCACCAAGTCCTACGAAATCAGGGAAGATGGATATACTTTTGCGTTAACGGGGACAATAAGGCAAATCCACAAGTGTTTCACATTAGTGCAACTCACGTAATTCACACAAACCATCCCATAAGACTTACCAAGCCATGGTTTATATCCGTATTATACGACTGTACCAAGAAGCTGAAAGGACACAATCTGCCAACTATTACCAGGCCTGTTTGTTGTTCTTCACAGCCGATTAAAAGAAAGATACCACGTTTGCTTTGTCATTTGAAGGCCACCGAATCGAATCCGCAGTATAGCCATCCCGCGCGCGACGACGTGGTCGCGTGGCGGCGAAGCCTCGGTACGATGTGCCGTTGTACTGTTGATGACCCATAGATACT